CTTCCTTATTCATATTAAAACTTCTATCCATCAGAGTTATCATATGCTTGCAACCAAACATCCCAGTTTTGGTCAAGAGATCAAGAACATATTTCCTTTGATTAATGAAAATTCCTGAATTTGATTGAGCTATTTCCATTCCCAGGAAATATCATAATTTACCCAAATCCTTTATCTTGAACTTAGTTCTCAACAATCTTTTCAACCCGTCATTCTCACACACTTCATCACAAGTAATAACAATATCATCTACGTACACAATCAGAGTGATATGTTTGTTATTAGGTGCTATCTTCACAAAATTGTATGATCAGCCTGACATTGCTTGTAACCATCACTAAGAATTATCTTAGTAAATCATTCAAACCAAACACGTGGGGACTGTTGAAGGCCATAGAGAGCCTTTTGCAGTTTGCAAACCTTTTGAGTCTTTGAGACTGTTTTCAAATCATGAGGAAGACTCATATATACATCTTTTTCTAGCCTCCCATTTAGAAAGAAATTTTTTATATCCAGTTAATGAGGTCTCAATCCTTATTAATAGCTAGACTAAAAAAATCACACATTATTGAGTTCAGCTACGAGTGCAAACGTCTCTTTGTAGTCAATTATATGGGTCTGAGTCAAGCCCTTGGCCACAAGCCTGACTTTGTACCTCTCAAAGTTACCATCCAAGTTGTACTTAACATCAAATGCCCATTTACAGTCGACAAGTTCTTCCCCTTTGGTAGATCTACCATGACCCACGTGCTATTTTTCTCGAGAGCTCCAAGTTCATCTTCAACCCATTTCGAATCCTGTAAAGCCTCCTTTATAGTCGCTGGTATTCGCACCATGTCTAAGTTGACTATAAAAGTTTTCAAAGAATGCGTTAATTTCTTGTAGGCAACAAATCTTTGTATCCGATGTTTAGTACATTGCCTAACACCTTCCTTTTAGCAATAGGAAAATCATCAAAATTATGTTCGTTGAGAAGAACTCCACTACCTTTATTACCTTGTGAAGCAAACGGACTGAGTGCCAACTCTCAGAAAGCACTAGATTGTAAAAAAATCTCTGGGACAGTTTTTCGTGTTGTGTATAGACTTTTGAGGACTAGCGGGGGACATGGCAATAGGAGTAGGTATAGAAATAAGACTTGAAAAACTGTTTGGGACAAGTTGACACAAGTTTCGAATGTACCATAAGTGAAATAGAGGGCAAAATAGGTCATCAATGAACGGAGAAGGTTGTAATCCATCCCGTCCCCTCCCCCCCGGGATTGCAATCGCATGGAAAAATGGAACTTGTTCAAGAAATGAAATATCCATAGAAACAAGGTTTTGTGAGAAGTTGGAGAATAACATTTTAACCCTTCTTAAGAGAAGAATGTCCTAGAAAAAGACATTTGTGAGACAGGGGATCCAATTTGGAACATGTAGGATTTGTATTTCGAACAAAGACAATACAACCAATGCCTACAAAGGAATAGTAGAGGACATAGGTTTAAAGGAAGGATAATTAGCTAAGAAAACATCCCGAGGAGTTTGAAAATTTAATACCTTACTAGGCATTTGATTAATTAAATATATGGTAGTAAAAGAGCCTCACCCCGAAAATGTTTAGGAGCATTCCTAGAAAAGGGTCATGCACGAGTTACCTCTAACAAATGTCTATTTTTTCTCTTGGCAACCTCGTTTTGCTGAGGGGTATCAACACCAAGAAATAATTTGTACTATGCCTTCTCTTGGAAAAAATCGGCCAAAGTGTTTGTAAAATACTCTCCCATTATTGGATTGTAGGATTTGAATTTGAGTTTGAAATTGTGTTTCAACTATAGCATAAAAACTTTTGAAACGATGGACATTTTCATATTTTTTTCATCAAGTCCAAGTGGTCCTACTATGATCATCAATAAAGATGATAAACCAACGATAGCCATTAATATTTTTGACCTTAGAGGGCCCCAAATGTCATTGTGGATTAATGAAAAAGGTTTAGAAGGTTTATATAATGATGGTGGATAAGAGCTTTTGGTGTGTTTGGCCAATTTACATATGGAGCAGTAAAAGGAATTAGGCTTCTTATTTATGAATAAGTGTGGAAACAATCTGGCCAAATAGTGGAAGCTAGGATGTCTTAACCGATAATGCCATAACATCACATCATCATTTTTTTTCTATGGGAAAAACCCAATGGAAGAAGAAAAACCACTTGGATTAGGTGAAGGCTGCTGAGGGAGAAGAACATAGAGCCCATTCAACAGTCTAGCATTGCCAATCGTCTTCCCCGAGTTCGTTGCCTGCAAAGTACAAGTATGATCAGTAAATGTAGCAATATAATTCAAATCTTTAGATAATTTACTAATTGATAGGAGATTGCATGATAAGTTAGGAACATAAAGAACATTCTGCTGAACTATGTCCTCATTTATATAAACAAATCCACTTCCTGTAATTCCAAACAAAGAACCATTTGTCGTTCGTATAGAGGACCGATTGTTAGGAACCCGAACCTTACAAATAAGATCTTGATTGCCGGTCATGTAATCAGAAGTCCCAGTGTCAACTATTCAATTCGTTGCATTCTTTGTAGTGTGAAGAGCAGCAGAAAAAGTGGTGCCATTTGGAGAAATAGAGCAACAAGATTTGTATTCGGAGGACCAAGAAATTACCCAAAAAATCGAGGCATGTCATCAATTTGTTGTTTGGTAAATCTACTGGTCATGTCACTGCTGGCCAGATTAGAGTTAGTCTCCTTGGACCATCTGCTAGAAGAAGATTTCCAATCCACTGGTTTGCCTTGAAGCTTCCAGCATTGATCTCGAATATGTCTTGTTTGCTTGTAGTAATCACACCATGATTTTCCTTTATGGTTTCGATTTGTAGAGGATGAATGAGTGAGCAAAGTTGATCCATCAACAACATCAAGCATCAATGTTCGTCTACTTTCTTCCCTTCGAACCTCAGGGAACACTTCACGAATGGAAGATAGAGGCTTTGTGGCAAGAATCCTGCCACGAACCACATCCTAGTTGTTATTTAATCCATTCAAAAACTGAAATATCCTTCGCTGAGCAGTGGTCGTTTTGTAAAGGGCTGCATCATTTTGAGTTTCCCAATCATGAGCATCATATAGATCAAGTTGCTGTCGGAGACGAGTGAGAGTATTATAATAAAGAGTGGCAATCATCGTTTCTTGTTTGAGATTCGCAGCCTTGCTTTCAATCCCAAAAATTTCAGAAACATTGTCTGAACTAGAATAGTTGTCACGTACTGCACACCAAATATCATGTGCAGTAGCATAAAGGAGAAAACTCTCCCCAACAGCAGATTCCATGGAATTAATCAACCAGAACATAATCATTCCATTTTCGTGCACCTATTTGTCATAGTCTGGTGCAAGAGTGGTGGGTTGTTGAATCTCGCCAGAAATATACCCAATCTTCCCTTTTCCAGTAACAAAAAGCTTTACCAACTGTGACCATTGAAGATAATTATGGTCCAGTAATTTGTTTCATGTGACAGTCGAATTCAAGGTTTCAGAAGCATCATCAGAACCAAAAGTAGGTTCTGTGATTGATTGGACATCAATTAAAGATGAATTGGTCATCTCTATGTTTTTAGAAACCATGTGGAAACTGAAAACGAGTTTCTTTTTCAGTATTTTCTCATAGATTACAGTATACAAAGTTAGTCTTTTATAGACTATAGTTTTACCCTTTTACCCTACTAGGGTGCCTAACAACTATACAAACATTTGAAAATAAATTAGGGACAAGGTCAATCTAATCTAAACTAACAAATAACAAAATAACAAACAAACTAAGTATATCCACAACTCACAGTAGACACGTAGGCGTAGGGGTATTCATAATTTTGTTAAAACCAAATTAGCCGACCAGACCGACATTTTTTTCGGTTAATCAGTCGGTTAATTTTGGGTTCGATCTGTTAAAGATTAAAGGTTTTTTTAAACTTTGGTTATCAGTTAGTTCTATTTGAAATTGATTAATTAATCGAATTAATTGAAATTATTTATTATTTAATATATTATTTATATAATTTAGCTAATAGGGGTGTTTAATTTTGATTTTAACCAAATTAATCAAAAATATTAAATATTTAATATATAATATATAATATATATTATTTATAAATTTCAGTTAATCGACTAATTAACCGAACTTAGTTCGGTTTGGTTAAAAAATTTCGAAAATAATTGATTCGGTTAATGGTTAAAGGGAAAAAATTCGTTTAATTAATTTTGGGTAGTTCGGTTCGGTCGGTTAACTGAATTAACCGATTGAACACCCCTTTGTAGGCATGCTGGAAGTATAGGCTGCAAATACAATTGCTATTATCGATTCCAGGTATAAAATTTCTACATCTCTTTGAATTGATAGGAGCAAGGACCCATTGCCTTTTGCAATATCAGTTCCCAGATTTTTTTTGAAGTATTGAATAGCAGTGGAACAAATGTGAATGTTGTAGTTATCTGATTTATTTATTTTATATGCGAATCAAGAATATGAATATGAAATTATGCTTCAAACTTCATTTAATCCCTATGATATGATGCTACATATCGAGCATAACAATATCAGTACTATTAGTGAAATAGGTACCCGAAGTATTCCTGTTGCCTATTAATGTGAAACTGTTTTGAATATATGTAGTGACCGTCAGATATTGTGCATTAATTTCATCGAATGACCTCCATAGGTATCGTTTTAAGTACAATTGGATCTTTTGTAATATACTTTCGATTCAACCCTCTGGTCATTTTGAGGTGTTTTCCTTCATTTTTTTTATTTTTTTGGATTGTTAATGATTCATGATCCAATAACCTATACTATGCCTTTGGCTAATGGTATATTTGTCTTGCCACGTATAAGGTTTATATAAGGGATGCATCCAAGAACTGGAAACTGGCTGGACCAGATGGAGGCAGCCGATTGGTAATAAAGGAGCCAGCTGCTAATGTTGTTTTGTCAGATACATTTCATGCAAAAAAATGGCAGGATGTTGTAGATTTTGATGACCACCTTGACGATATTAAGATGTAATTCGTACTCTCTGCTCTTCACTTATCTTCTAATAGAGCACAAATTTACATGTTATCTTTCTGATTGCAGGGGTTGGCTTAATCTGGAAATCTTCAAATAAGATCCTTTGATTGGCATCTTGAGGTAGACAATGAAATCTAGAAACCATTGGAGATTTTATCGGGATGTATTAACCAGGTATCGGTTATAAATTTCATGAAGATACGATGGACATTTCTTAAGCAAAACATGAGCGTTTTACAGTCATTGGTTTCGAACTTGTTAGTGGAATGCAGAGCCGTTCTGTTTTTAATTTATTGCATTCCTTAGTCTTAGTTTATCTCCCCACACACAGGGCCGGCCCAATACATGTGCCAGATGGGCATTAGCCCAGGGCAGCATGATTGAGGGGGCAGCATGTTTGAGGGGGTTCATAACACAGGTCAAGGAGCTTCTTCATTAACAGAACCAGAGAGACAGAACCTAAGGGATGAGATTGAGAGACTTAAGAATGAAAAAGAGTCGCTTGCTTCAGAGTTAAAGAGGCATGAACAGACACAGCAAGGATTTCAGATGCAAATGCAACTTTTGAGGGAGCGTTTACTGAATATGGAACAGAGGCAGCGAAAAATGATGTCTTCCGTGGCTCAAGTCTTGCAGAAATCAGGGCTTGCCATAAATCTGACACCACAATTGGAGACTAATGACAAAAAGAGAAGGTTGCCTAGAATTGCTACTTATATGATGAAGCCGGGATTGAAGATAGTCAGACAGGCAATTCCATAATCGCTAGAGAAAATGCAAATTTCACATTGTCGTCCAACATCGAGCCATTTGAACAATTAGAGTCATCTATGGTGTTTTGGGAGAATATGGTTCATGATTTTGGTTAAACTAACGTTCAAGGTAATTCAAACCTTGAATTAGATGAATCAACAAGTTGTGCAGAAACACCATCAATAATATCTTGCATTCGGCTTAATATTGATGCTCAACCTAAATCCCCCGGGATTGACATGAACTCTGAGCCTGCCCCAGTTGTTACATCTAAGCCTATTACAGAAAAGGAACAACCTGCAAGAACTACTGAACCTCCCAGAGCTGGCGTTAATGATATGTTCTGGGAACAATTTTTGACTGAAAATCCTGGTTCAACTGAAACTCAGGAAGTCCAGTTAGAAAGAAAAGATTCCGTTGCTAGAAAGAATGAAAGCAAACCTGGTGATCAGAGAAGATTTTGGTGGAATATGAATAATGTAAATAACCTTGCAGAGCAGATGGGGCATCTAACTCCCGCTGAGGAAACTTGATATTGGTTGATTTTTTTTATGGCTTTTGGTGCATCGATATTCAGATGTATTAAATCTAGGTATGATTGGTTTGATGTGGATATAAGTAGATAACTTATGTTTGAGTTCATCTTCTCAAGCATGTCATTACGTTCACACGTTCATTTGTTTTTAGGTGCTATACAACTATAGTGATTTACATGGCTTTTTTTATCTGCTTCAATATAGTTAAGATTCACATAATTTTTGGAGAAAACCGCAAATTGATTATAGTATTTTTAGGTTTTGGTTTGTATTAGTATTAATATTGTTTGACTATAATTTATATTACATTTTTGTTTTAAAAAAATTATTTATGTTTTGTCTATTATACGGTACAAGTATATGGGCATAAAATTATTATCTCGCAGAGGGTATTAAAACTCATTGGACCGGCCCTGCACACACACAAAAACATATGATCTAGTGATTGAGTTTCGACATTGAGGATGTCAATGGTTTAAGAACGGATTGACCATTTCATTTCAGAAAAGGCTTAAAATATCATTTTCCAACAGTCTTGATGAAGCCATGGATGAACCTTTTCAAGGCAATCAAACACGGGCTCTTCAGATTTTAAAAAATATTAATGCTAGGAAAACACATCCTTGAAATTATACTCGTTTATGTGAACTAGATGTTGTTCCCGATGGTTTCACTTGCACTTTCTCCCTCAAAGCTTGCACACGGCTTTGTTGGATGATAAAAATGGTAAGATCATTCATGGGGTTATCCAGAAACTTGGGTTTCACTGGAACTTGGTCTTGCAAAATATGATTTTGAATATTTATGGGATGTGTGGAGAAATGAACTGTTAGGTTGGTGTTTGATAAAATGCCGCTACAAGATGTCGGTTGGAACTTGAATGTTATGATTAGCCATTTGATGAGAAGCAGAGATTTCGGGGGTGCTTATGGGTTCTTTTCGCGTATGCCTGAGAGAAATGTGATGCCGAGGATGATGATGATATCTGCGTGTGTTCACATCTGGAAGGGGCTAACTTGTTTATGAGGTCAGTGTAGTGGCTGTTCTTTCAGCTTGTGCTGATTTGGGTACACGAATACTCCAAAAGAAGTGCATTTGGAAGAAATGTTAAAGAGATTTAAATACTTCGATTGACATGTATTTGGAATGCCGATGCTTGGAGGATTTTTGAGGAGATAGAGGAACGAACGGTGTGTCGTGTCTTGGTCAGCTATGATACAAGGGCTTGCAATCCATGGACAAGCTCTGCGGGTTTTGTCAATGGGATGATGCCTATTGGGTAACCTTTATTGGGCTCTTGCATGCGTGTAGTCAAATGGGGTTTGTCGATGATGGTCGTCGGTTTCTTTTCCGGCATGACTAGAGACTATGGTGTTATTCTTGAGATCAAGCATTATGGTTTCGTGATTGATCTTTATAGTCGAAAACATTTCCATTATCCACAATATACACAAACTCTTGATGAAGCTTATGGTTGTGGTGATCCCATAAAATTTTGCTTCTTAGGAGATTTTCCGGCCATAAAGCCCGTTGGCCTCAACGGGCATATATTGTCTGCTGTTGCATTGACAATTGTGCTAGTATCGTACCAACTAATTGCTTATTCGGCCCTCATAAGAATTGGACTCCCCAAAAAATTAGAGAATTTGATGCAATCTTTTTCATAGCTACACATAAGGATACTATTGTGCCGCGGTTATTTTTAGCTTAAAATACTTGGACAGTGGACTGTCCAAATGCAACTAAATATTAGCTATTTATTTACCTGAACCCCCTCCCCAATTGTTGGCCTCCTGCTGGAATGCCTTAACCAAACATGAAAATGCCATGTTTATTACTTTGTCATTTCAATGGCTCTGTCAAATGCACCCAACCAAACCAAACCAGGTAGGCTTGAGTCTCCTTCATGTCTTGATTTTTGTGCCATACAAAGCACATGATATTTTCCATGGGAGCATCACGTGACATGTTTTCCCCAACCAAATCAACACAATATGAACCACATTCTTTTGCTTGATGTAACACACCTGTCTTTCCTAAGATGAAAGTTATCCACTTATTTTTTATATAAATAAAATAAATTAATTAATTATAAAAAAACTGGTTAATAAAGCTTAGTTGCTTAATTAGATTACGGGTTTTTGACCCAATAAGGCAAACATATTTATTGATTAACAATATTTATTACAGTAATTTGAAAATCATCATGTCGATGTGATGAATTTTAATAAAATATATTTTTTATTTAAATTTTTATCTCAATGTGATAAAATTTAAGAAAAATTATATTTTATTAAAATTTATCTACTCAATGTGATAAATTTAAATAAAAAATATTATTTGGGTAAATTTATCACTTTGACGTGACAAACAAATGTCGTGATTCTAAAATAAACTTCTATATATCTTATTGGACTAATTAATAAAACTATTTAAGCTATTGAGAGAAAAAAAAACCTAGATTAGGCACTGATATTTCTTAAGCCGATTAATCAAAGACTGGTTGATTATTGGGCCTTTGCGTAACATATCATATTCCAAAATTTCGACTGTTGAATCGGGAATTGATCAGTTAGTTTAGAAGGTTCCTGATAATATAACACATGTGGGAACCAAATTTTATGAAATTTTATTACACTTATTTCTACTTTGTATTTTATCCCTAGTTAGTTGGTTTTAGGATAGTTAGGTTTAAGGTGGATATTTGATTGAGTCGAATAAAAAAATTTTGAGTTATTTGAGTTGTCGAGTCTTATTTTATAACTCAAATTTTCTTTTATACATTTTTTAGTCAATTTGATTTTATAAAATTTGAGTCAAGTCGAGTTGCATGAAATAAAATTTCATAGTAAATATTTATAATATTATGATAGTATTTGATTTCAATTTAAACTGTTTTCTATAGCAATATAAAATAAATATATTTTTCTTTATATTTTTCATATGTGATATACATACATATGATACAGAGTAGAGAGATTCAATTAAAATTTGAAAATCAATCTACTAATTACTAAAAATTTCGAGTTATACTTCTACTCAAATTTATATTATTATTTGTTAAATTATTATGTAAATCACACAAAGGGCTGCTCTGCTCTCTACCTAAAAAAATAGTACCCGACTTGAAACATTGAACATCGACAAATTTTTTTTTGAAACCATGACCAATCCACTTTCCACGTTTATAAAATGTGTTGAATTTTTACATTTCTTAATTGGAAAATTGACAATTAAGTCTAACAATTCAATACACTTGACTTATAGTTTGAATTTGTTTCAATTCCATCCCTTTGTATTCTGCCTTTGCAACAATAGCATTTGGTTTGAAATCGAAAAAAATTGTTAGCTTTAATTTCATGTGTTAAGAGGAGAAAAAAATATATACTTATTTAAAGAAAAACTATTAAAATTTTAGTCTAAATTTTGTAGATCCGTAGTTAGAAATTAAACACGCTATTTTAAACATGTAAGAAAACTCATAGACGAAGGGGCGAGCAATAATTGACGAGGAAGATGTATTTGTAAAATCAACCAATCAAAATACCATTTGTTTGATTGGCAAAGTGAAAAGAAAAGAAAACCTTTTCAAAACAAATGGCTTAAAAATAAAGCATTAAAAGCTTGAAATAAAATATATGTGCTGCCAAACCTGAAAGGAACAAAAAAAAAGGCTTCCTTTTTTTGTCATCAATAATTATGTAAAAACGACTTCACTTGGTCATCAAAAGCACCCCCGCTTTTGATTCTTTGTACCTTTCAAAAAGATGCCTTCCACTCTACATGTTTAGAGAATGAAGAAGAAGAATCTTCAAACTCTATGACGCCTAATAATCCAATCTTTTACCGAGATTTTGAATCCAATCTCCTTAGGTTTCAAGCATCAGACGATCAATGTAAGACAGACAATGATCATCAAATTTGTTAGTACAAATTTTAAAACCTTCATTGATCTAAAACTTAATAATTTTCTATATCGATTCTCATTATTTGAGCACATAAAC